ACATACAGAATAAACTATTCTCTGCAGAAGGTAGAGTATGTTAATTTGAACAAAATTAAGAACATTTTGGCTTCCCATTAATAGAATATGACTACCAGGTAGATTCAGAATTAAAACATCTACCTACTATATCCAACGGTAAATGCAGTAGAACAGACTTAGAATATGGGGAAGATGTGAGCCACACGAAGGATGGTGATCAACGACTTGGGAACAGTGGATGACAACGGAAGAAAGCAGAGCCAGAGCCACAGTACCAGGGAAAGTGCCAGCATTTGTATTCTTCTATATGCCTATGGTATGCAGCACAGGCACCCACAAAGAAACCCACTCCCTAATCCTTATAATGCATGAAAAGTGGGACTACACCTACATATAATAAAGCAATGAATCTCAAAATAGGGTGATGACAGAGTTTCTATCCTGCCTGGTCCTACAGCTGTTTAGTCCCAAATAAACACACTGAGGCTTATATTAATTATAAACTGTTTGGCCTGTGGCTCAGGTTTCTTATTAGCTAGTGCTCTCTTAATTATTAACCCATTTCTATTGAACCAGTAGTGCCATGAAGCTGTGGCTTACCCATAGAGTTCTGGCACGTTACTCCTTGGGCAGCTACACGGCATCTATTTGGTAGCTCCTCTCTGTGTTGTTCTTCTCAGCATTCTCCTAGTCTGGTAGCCCCACCTCTATTTCTTGCCTGGTTACTGGCCAATCAACATTTATTCATCAACCAATAAGAGAAACATATATTCACAGCATACAGAAGGACATCCCCCAACAATAGGGAGACTTTCTTGGGCTGTCTGGGTGAGCCTGGACTAACATGAACTATTGAAGCAGGCAACTTTCTCTGAATGCAGACTGGCACATTAGGATAAGAAGCCAGAGACTCTCTAAGCATAACATATATTCAGTGCTGTACACAAAAGAAAGGCCTACAAAAACTGAATGTGCTGCCTGCTAACATGGAAAGGGGCTCTCATTTTCACAACTTCAAGGAACAAGATTCTTCCAACAATCTAAATGAGGGACAAGTGAACATGACAGCTGACATTACCTTCAACCTCATGAAGCCTTCAGAAGCAGGTTGGATTCTATATAATCGTAGCATTTGTGCTGTTTTAAATCCAGAGAGATTTGTTTTAGCAGCAATATACCAAAAACTACGGTAATCCCATAGGACATCAATAGCAGGTTATAAATAACCAAAGGTAACAATTGCTTGTTCCCCCAACTCCAGTCCAATCCTAAAGAGTCAATCTAGGTAAGAGGAGCTAGGGAGGGGGAGGAAGGGCAACTACACCTCTACCACTGGCACCTACAGATATCTCTAGGAAGATTAAGTTTGCAATGTGAAGAAAGATAAGCTGTCTTTCATGATGGTAAGTTATAAATAGTAAGCTAAACATTTTTATTATTTGAAGACAAGAGAAAAATTGAAAGGGCTAACTCTAAGAGGCCATGCCTGTAGTAAGCAAATCACTTTCAGTTGTACCCACTGAGTTCATGGTGTTCAAAAAGCCAGTTTCAGCACAGACAACAAAGAGTTCAAGAGTACTCATTAAAGTTGACTTCAGATATCAAGGCTGTATGTATATGCAATGTTGAGTGAGTCCAACTAGTTCATACATCTAAGATCCACAGAAAGCCAAGATGGGCTTTCAGTATATACCAAAATATAAACAAGGGTCGGGGAAAGTGCCTAGGAAATGTAGCTGAGGGTGAGTGAGATGGCTCAGCAAAACAGTGTCTGAAACCAAGGCTAACAACCCGAGTTCAAATCCCTGGAACCTACATGATAGGAGAAGTGTCTTCAGCAAGTTGTCTTCTGACCTCTAAACATGCACTGTGGAATGTGCATCCACACACATATACACATACAAGTAAATAAACATAAAAAATTTAAATGTATAACTAAAATGTCACCACTGTATTAGAAACTAGACCATTGTGAGACCAAGAAAATCAATTCTCTAAGCAAAACTAAATTGTTGAAGTATTACACTATACTTTGCATTCATTAAATAATCAAGTCAGTAATATTTCAGAGGACTATGTTGAGGAAGAAAAACAAGTGTTCTTCAAAATAAAGTTGCTACTTCTTATACAAATTAAAGACTTTTCATAATTGGTAAATAGGAATAATTGTCTTTTAAACTGCACAATTGTGACACAAAGACTCTACATATAAATTTTAAATATGATAAAACCTTTGCAAAAACAAATGCCAAAAGGTTAGCATAGACGATTATTAAATGTACCTGCTAGGAGAATTTTTATTAATAAAAACTCTCAGTCACAAATGAGACATCTTTATCTCCTTCCTCCACGCAAAGTTCAAGATACAAAAATGTGCTAAGGGTCAAGGATCAGAAGCCTGGAGGACCCAGACAAAACAGTGTCTTCTGGACATGAAAGGACTGATGCATTCTTCCATGCACAGTAGTTGTGGTTGCCTCCCCAGAGCTATACAAGATCAAGCCAGTCCATTCCAGCAAGGAAAGAGAAATTCATAAGCCCCCATCCCTAAGTGAGGAGCTTTTGACAACTGATAACTCACTCCTAGGAGAAGGAGAAAGATAATTTTTAAGGACACGAACCCAAGTAAGTTTAGCGTTCTCAACGTTCCAGTAGATGAGCAACACAAATTGGACTCAGTGAATAATATATACATAATGCATTTCTCATACTATAAATATTCTATGTGTGTGTATAAGTATAGATATATGATGACATGAAGTTGGGAAGGGATACAGCACTGGGGTGAATCTGGGAGAAATTACAGGTAGGGATAAAGGTGAATATCAAAGTACATTCTGTGCATATTGGGAGTTCACAAAGAATAAAGAATATATACAAATATGTATTTTAAAATACTACAGGTCAAGTCCAATGCAAGTCTAGTTTTCTCTACAGTCATAAAATCAACTTTAAATTTGCAAACAAACAATAGTGCCCAGAAAAATCTCTCTAACTCTCATTTACAGTAGGCAAGAGACACTTCCTCAATTTCTTCAGCATTCAGCTTTAGCATCAAGAGTAGGTTTTACATTAAAGTATTCTAATATAATCAAGGATTTAGAAAGAGAAGGACAGAATCTGTTCTGAATGTTTGGAAGAGAGCTTAGGAATAACTCATCCTTCACAGATTCAAATGCTCCAACAAAGCAACACTTCCACTCTAATTCTATTAAATAAAACAAAGGTTTGTTTGAAAAGACCTATTACTAAGCAGATTTGGCTAAGATTTACAAAATGATCTGGCCAAGTTATTCATCAAGTATGGAGAATCACTTCAAACTGTCAATATCCAAATGACCTGCACATACTTCCCTATACTTGTAAGTGATCCCAGCAGTCACAAAACGAACAGTAAGAACTATATTCAGTATTTCTTGGATGGTTGTCCTTTTAACTAACTGAATGTGATCATAAAATGTGTTCTCTGTAATGTTTAACAGCAATAGGCTGCTTTCTCGACTTACTCAGATGGTACTCACAATTATAATTTTAAAAGAGAATTTTAATGTAGTTAGAAGAGCCATAATTGTACCATTCCAAAGTATCACAGGTAATTAAGGTACATGTTCAGTGCACGGAAGGAAAGGGCCCTCTGCCACTGCAAGCCTGCAAAGGTCATACTGAAAAGAGCTATCTTCACACAAGCCTCATTACTGGTGGCAAAGGCCAGCAAAAAGAGGATTCTTTGTCCTTGGCCAAGATTATAGCAACTCAAAGTGTCAAAAGGGAAGGAATTACAAATGTGTAGGTAAAAAACCAAAACTAACACTTCATTAGGAGTTGGCATAATAGTGATGAGTTTCCCAAAGTCTAGAGTTTGTGCAAATCAAATAATAAACATTAAAAAATATATTCAGAGTCACTAGAACTTATTAAAAATTCTATAAAGACAAACTGAGTTTTTATTCTTTCTGGGGTCTTCTGGCATTCTAGGTGTTAACACTAGACTGAATACTTGTATTTTTAAATAAAGGAAGGCAATATAATACAAATACAAGACTCCTGCTGAACAGTTATAGAAGAGCTATTAATAGTCTCTAAATTTCACATTCACATAAACCTAATGAGCAAATGCAGTATTTCCCTGAAAGTAGATAAAGCTGCCAAAACTGATAGACAAAAGAACAGACATATACAGAATACATTATGATTGGAAATACACACAAGACCTCAGAAGGGCTTCTTTCATAGTCTAATATCTTCCCATCTAACTTTTCTGACCTCTTACTGGTTCTAGAAGTTATTTAGAGCCTAGCTCTACAATTTTGCTTACTGTTATGTCCTCCATAGCAAAAGACTGCTCTTCCTTCTACCTATCGAAATGCTAACTGCCACCTGGCCCAGGCTGACTTTTTCTGCAAATTTTCCAAAAATACTATAACATGCTACCTGCTGTATTTTCCCTGAAGCTAATTATGTATCTCAAAACCCAAGTAGTTTCTCGCTTCTCTGAATTTATAGAGAACTGAATTGTTAAACACTACCTTCTGGTATTGCTTATGCAATATTTCAAATATTTGTTTTAAATCATAATAGATATAAAACTTGAAAGTAGCAACTATACAAATAATAATAAATTTATATAAAATCAGCATTTTGTAGTAAATGGTTTGAACATACTTAACATACGTGGATTCCTGATCTAATCAGCTCATTTAGATTAAAAACCAGAGGCTGAATTCATCAGAAAGTCACAGCTAAAGACCAAATGGAGAAGGCATCAAAGGACACAATAGCATAGCATAAATGGCACTGATAGAGTGCCATAAATAACACAGATACACTGATAGCTGGGAATAAGACAAGGACAAAGAAACAACCCAGAACACTCAATGACAAGAGAGCACTGAAAACACAGGAAGAGCAAATGAACTCGATCATATGATCTATTTAAGAGCAAAGGATGCACGTGATACTTCAGTTGTTACTAGATTCTGAATAAGATGGAAATACAAAGAATAATCAAAAACTCTTACCATCATGTTCTCAAAAAGTTTTAAGACTTCATTCTCGGATAGTGGCTTGGGAATGTTTTCCCTTGTCTCTGAAAACGCTGATGAGTGATCACTGCTCCCAGATAGATGCTTCAGATTGGGAAGAGGAGGTCTCTCTTTCTTGCTCCCTGGAATTCTTATGCTGGCAAATTTGTCCAGCTATGAAGAAAGATAAAATAGCAAACAAATCAATATCTCCTCATTCATCAATAGTGATCTAGTTCCAAAAACAAGGAAACAGCGCAGGGCCAATCACATTGTCACTGATTCGTCAAATGACAGTCACAATCAGAAGCTTCAAAATTAACAGTACTGAATATGTGTTGAAAAGGTTCCAGCAGGAATTCTATTTAAAGGCGGATGGGAAATAATACAACTTCAAGAGGCTTTCAGATTTTAAAAGTCACAAAATTTTACATTAAAGATTCTGATGGCAGATGACCTGTGTTTTATAGAGAAATAAACTCAACAGTTTCAAAAAGCAAGTCAGCTAGCATTGATGGCACCAACTGTTAACTTCTTGCACTGCAAATCAGCCCCTGCCCTTGTCCAGTGCCCTTATGCAGACTGTCCCCTACCAGGGGACAAGGAGGGGCACAACAGGACATGGGTTAGGAATTTTAATTTTGAACTGTAATGCCTCCACAGCTTATTCACCTGGTAACATTACTTTTTGTTCATACTAGCCTACATCTGAACTTTTTGCATCGCTACAAAGTAGGGCCTAAATATAGCTAAACTTTTGTTGTAACAGAATGTCTTCTATAACAAGATCAAATAGCTGACTGCTATTTGAAAATATATTAATCTTAGTCTAGAAAGCTAATTATCCATTCATTCAAAATTGTTTGTCCAAACAAAGAGCCCAGATTCCTATTTCAAGACACATAAAACTTTTAAAAATCAAAAGGGCAAAACTGTTAAAGGAGACTTCAAGAATCTAAGGTTATTCAAAGCATAATCACTGATTATGTAAAATTTTCAACATTGCTATTAATATAAGCCTATTGTTTTCACTATAACACTAACAAAATTGGCTCAGATTTAAGTAAAGGCACTGGCCAAGAATGATGATCTGAGTTTGATCCATCCACCTACATACACAAATAAATAAATGATTAAAAAGGTATTGATTACAGACGTGTGGTATACATTATAGTAGAACGAGCTGCATACATATGGTTACTGAGTTAAATGGCTAGTTCTTTAGCTGCACAGCCAAATTTCAAGTGTCCAAGGGTCATATGTATTTAGAGGCTACCACAATAGTAAAGCCACATTCAGAATATTTCTATTGTTGCATAAAGTCCTATTGAAAGATCTGTAGAACTATTAAAGCAAACTGATACCTAGAAATCTTTAATTTTAAAATTCCATTCAATTATGTCACTATTTAATTCACTAAAGAAATAGATCAACTAATGAGATGTAAAAATAATAATAATCATATTCAAAATAGGCCTCTGAATTGTCTATGAAGATAATGTCTAGAGAAAGTATTATGCATTGCACTTAAACACAGTCTACTTGACAAAACTTCTAAGACTCAGCTAACAACTGAAAAATTTAAAATGTAGTTACAACACATCATTGCTCTCATCCTAACAAAGTACAAAAGCTGCAGAATGAGAGTTGCTGTGTTTTCGATTCATCTGAAAGCTGAAGACACAGAAAAGGGAAAGAGGGCTTACTGGAAGGGGAAAGGGAGCAGGGAAAATGGGGGTAATAGGTAGATAACATATGAAGTGGGCATGTACAAATGTTTTTTCTTGTCAGTATGCCCTTACCACTCAATAACAATGCTTTCATTGTATCAGGCAATAAAATAACAAGAAGGTTATATGTCTAACCTAAGCAAGTTTCTAGTGACATTCTTAAGTTTGTTTCATTTCACCAGTACTTCAAAACTGAATTAAAATATTCCTGGAAACTAGGAAGACTTATCTGTCTCCCCACTTATGTGAATGGAGTTCAACATTCTATGTATCTCTAGGGACAAGCCTTGTTCTTTTTGAGCCTTACATCAAGGCATATAATTCAAGCTGAATATACCATTAAGTAATTGAAATAAGGTTTGGAAAATATTCCTTCAATGAAAACAGAAGGTGAGGGCAGAAAAAAATGAGATGCTAATAGGTAGCATAAGTACTTTCCTCATGACCATTAGTTTTAGTTTACAAAAATATCCTTATTGTCCTCCACCATGGGTCAGGGATAGGAAAATAAACAGCAGTCGGGTATTCAATGACATACTGATTGCTGCATGGTTGCTGGCTGAGTGATTAGAAAACCGTAAGTTCTGTCAGAAGACCCCAGAGGACAAATCTGCCAACAGCTCTGCCCAATTCCTTTTTAGCCATATCTGCAGCATACCAAAGGTTGGAGAAAGCAGAAGCTGAGAGACATCCTGCCTGAGGCAGGAAAGGCTTTCAGTAACTGCAATCTGTCCTCCTACGACACAGACCAGGGAAAGACCTGAGTGAAATGGCCATGACATACACATGCCTCGAAAAGATCAGGATAGCTGCTACCTGAAAGTTAAGAGCAGCTCACCAGGTCATAGCTTCCTGAAGAAACAGAGAGTAAACTGAACTAGTAACAAAGGACAACTCAGCATTAACCCTGAAAATGGGCATCAGATTTAAAACAAGAAGCTATCTCAGAATTTTGGAACTTGCTATGTCAGTGGGAAAAGTCAAAAGCTAGACTGCCAGACGCACTTGCTGTACAATCAAGAGGATCTAAGTTACAATCCCCAGTACCCACATAAAAAGCCAGGATGATGGAGAAACACAGAGAGACAGCTGACCTGAAGTTGTGGGAGCCCTCAGGGACTCTGGACAGACAGACAGGGAGCCGGCATGGGACCCACCTGGGTCCTCTGAATATGGGTGACAGTTGTGTAGCTTAGTCTTTTGTGGGGCCCTTAGCAGTGGGACCAGGACTTGTCCCTGATGCATGAGCTGGCTCTTTGGAACCTATTTCCCTATGGTGAGATGCCTTTTTCAGCCTTGATGTAGGGGGGAGGAGCTTGGCCCTGCCTTAACTTATGTCATGCTTTGTTGACTCCCATGGGAGGCCTGACCCTATCTGAATGGCCAAGGAGGTGTAGATTGGGAGTCAGAGAGGTTAGAAGGGACGCAGTGGAAGGGAATGGGTACAGAGGAGGGAAGGGAAACCATGGTTGAATAAAGCAAAAAAAGGAAGAAAGCCAGTTGTTTTAGGGATGCTGGTAAACTCAGAAGCTCGAGGTTGTTGGGAAAGTGGAGACAGGAGGTCACTGGGACTTGCTAACCCTCAGGATAGCACTAGGATGCCTCCTTCTAGACTCCATAGGCACCTGCACTCACACATGCACATACACAAATAATTAAAAATTAGATATTCAGAGATGATAGACAGACATACAGAGGCAGACAGTGGTAACACAAGACAATGTGTTGTCCTCTGGCCTTCATGAATTTGCACACGTGTGTACACACACACACACACACACACACACACACACACACACACACACAGGTGTGCATACTCACATACATGCATACACACACACACACACACACACCATACTCACATACAAACAAACACACACACACACACACACACCATACTCACATACATACACACACACACACACATACACACACCACTCACATACAAGCGCGCACACACAAACACACACACACACACACACACACACACACACACACACACACCTGTCAGATTTTCAGTGATGTTCAGTGATGTTCAGATCCCAAGCATTCAGATCATGTGAGGCTACAGAAGAGCTGCTTCCAAACTGAAAAAACAAGGTCCAGGTTTACCCCGTGCTAAACTGACATAGCTGGAAGAAGGGAAGACCTTTCTCTTTTTGGAGAAGAAAGGAAATGACACCTTTGACTTGTGAAGGAAAAGTCTGACCATACTGAGATTCTCTATCAAAATTCCTTTCACTAAGTAGAAGCAAACTAAAGACAATGCAGACAAAAGTGAGAGACTCTGCCTCCAGAAGCCCTGTTATGTACAACAGAAGCCATTATGCTTTTCAAGCTAAAGGAAAAGATGAAAGGTAGAATTTCAGATCTATAAAAAAAAAAAAGAAAGAAAAAACAAATAATGTATCAGATAGCTGCTGCTAGGACAAAGATAAGAGCTGTACAGTCAAGAGGTAGTAAGCAAGTCTTTTTTTTTTTTTTTTTTTGGTTTTTCGAGACAGGGTTTCTCTGTGTAGCTTTGGAGCCTATCCTGGCACTCACTCTGGAGACCAGGCTGGCCTCGAGCTCACAGATATCTGCCTGCCCCTGCCTCCCGAGTGCTGGAATTAAAGGGGTGCGCCACCAACGCCCAGCGTAAGCAAGTCTTTATATTGCCATACAGATATGCAGCAAGGAAATGTAGAATGTATTTACATAAATCCCTGGTATCCAACCCTGGTATCTAACCCTGGTATAAACATTCTCTATTGTGAAAGAAATAATAGAAAACATTCCAGAAGCCTCAATCCCTGTATATATTAGTACTCTATGTCTTCATTGTTCTTTGAAAACAAGTAGGAGATACCAAATAATTTTTGTAAACTAAGGGACTGGTTAGTCTATCTTCACTAATGAAGCTCTATAACTTCTATAGTTGTACATTTAGTGTCAATTCCTGAGCTTAGAAACTATCCCAATTCTTATCAGACACAAAGTGTAATGAACATGTGAAACTTACAATGAAATGAAGTATCTGTAAACAAAAATTTATAGAAATAATAAAGTAAAATTAGCACATTCCCCTGAATGTTTACAATTAAGCTTTAGGGAAAGGTCCAATTTACACAAGTGAAAAAGTAAAAGCACCTCACTAGGTTATAAGTAGCCAATGGCTAAATGAGGAAGATGAGCACACATCCCTCTTCTCATCTGTAAATCTACAAAGGTGAAGATAATAATATGAAATACAAAATATCAGAAATTTATGCTTTTAATGTACTATTTTTATTTATTCCCTTTAATTAAAAAGATGAAAGACAAAGTATAAGAAGAGCCAGGACTGGTGGAATGCTGAGTGGATAAAGGCTACCAAACCTGATGAACTCAGTTCAATCACCAGGACTGACATAGTGAAAGGAGAAAACTGACTCCGACAAATTGTTCTCTGGGAGTAGTACTATT